TATCCCGTTTTTATGTAGCCCTATATTTTTAGTGGAATTATGTTATTCACAGTTTAATCAAACTCATTTGTGAAAATGAATAGTTTTTATCATCTGATCATAGTCCATAACTAGTGTTTCATATGCATTTCATATCAGAAATTGTGGTAATTTCTACAATTCACTCACTAGTAGTGGTAATATCGGGAAAAGCATCTAGATTTTATTTCTTTCGAGCTCATGACTACATCTCTGCAGAAACATTTAATGAACGCGAATTGAATTATTCCCATAGTTGTCAATATCGGTAATCGGTTATTATTACATCAGCATTCCTTTTGCATAACTCAAATTCATTTATATCTGAATAAATTATAGCAAGAAATGGTGTGACTTTGTTGGCTCAAGTTGTAACTTTTGTTGAGAACAGAGAAAGATTATAATAGTGGAAATTAGTGCAAAATTAACTGTGCAGTAGTAGGACGCTCATTTACGGTAAATTGCTAGTGCACATGTAGTCCTGGGACTAATTTCAGTTCACACCGCCTGGTGCTTACAGTCACTAATCTCTCGTCGGAAACGTGAACGTTCGACTGTGAACTAGTTACTATGTTGTCCTGGTTAAAATCAGTCAGCTACAACGTAGGACCAGGCACATATATGCATCGATCTAAGTTGCCACACCAAATCCATAGAAGTAGTTACTTCAATGGTAGTAATATATAGAAAGATTGCATATAAGGTTATAATGAAGGGAGAAGGATTTAGTTTGAATTAGGAAAGGTATGGAGTAATTCTGATCTCACAGTTTATTTATTTATTTGAACACATAAATATTGGTACAAGGGGGCACCAGATATATATGCGCCACACCTCGCACCGCTAGTGCAAACGATTCGTGTACGTTGAACGTTGTTCCTGGTCTGAAACCACGCTCTAAACTACATGTAAAAGCTTTTAACGTCCGAACACTGTACCCAATAGGACAGCAGGTTTCCTTAGCTCGGGCTTTAGAATTTCACGCCATGTGTTACGTCTCCGAAACGCGCATACAGGATCCGAGTAGCGTCATTCACTTGACCTTACCATGTCAAAATAAAGAACCACCTCGATTCACGCTTCGTGTTTTTGGAAGCCCTGGTGCTGCCTCCCGTGGCCTCGCTGGCGTAGGTATAACATTGAGTCCTAGGGCAGAACTAAATCTCTTAGGCTGGATCCCTGTAGACAGTCGTTCGTGCGCTGTCCAACTAAACGGAGCAGTAAGGACTTGGGAAGATAGGGACGCTCGTCGTTGCCTCTTTGTCGTCTCTGCCTACTCTCCCACTGACTGCAGCTCAGATGATGTAAAAGATGAGTTTTACAGTAAGCTTTCCGACCTCCGAAAAGCTAGGCGCTCTGATGTAGTAATAGTGGCTGGCGACTTTAATACTCAAGTAGGTAAACTAAGCGAAAGGGAAATACACCTGGGTGGACCTTATGGTTTCGTGGCTCAAAGAACAGATAATGGTGACTGTCTGTTGCAGCTATGCTCAGATAACCACCTGCTTCGGTTTGGGCACCCGGGCAGTATCACAGCCCTCATACATATCAAATGAGATCTGTGTAGCGCATATGTATTTGGTGCCTCCTTGTACCAATATCTATGTGTTAAAATAAATAAAAGGCAAACTGACTGATCATTATTGTATCTAAAGCTCCGGCTGCTCGTGGATTTGAAATAGGGTGCATATGTTGAAGGCTCGAATGTGTAGTTTGGAGCGAGGTTTCAGTAGACCTGGGACAGTGTTCTGCGCACTAGAATCGTTGACTATGGTGACCCTTGAGAAGAAAGCCTAAAGCGGAAGTTTAGTGTTGAAAGTCGATGTAGGAGGAACAATAGGAATTGAAGAGGGAGGTTGATTATGAATACAGTGGTCTTGTGTGCTGTTAGAGGTATGAGGGCGATTATCACTTCTCAGTTGCCCGCACTGTGGATGAGTTCTTCTAGAGGTACCTGAGAAGGAGATTGGGTTGGGGGTGGTCTTAGTGACCTGAGAGCGTGACCGCAGTGCCCAAGGGACAACTGCTTGAGGTCGATCACACATGACTTTGTGATTAATTTCCATGTTAACCTCGTACTCGCTGAGACCTTACCACCGGAGACGGATATCTGTGGGATAATGCGATGTGTGTATTTTTAGGGTCGACCTTTTCTAACCCTACCCCTCCTTGTAGGAAGGCAGCATCACTGCCATGCTGGTTGTCTGAAGGAAACGCCTTACTGCTGTCACACCTCTGTACAGTCAGCAACACGACTTCGCCTTCGGACCTTGTGTTTGTTGCTTTTAGTTTTGTCGCTTTTCAACTGACCTGTCTAGCATGGTAGGACTTTGAGGAATGATTGTTCCAGCCAGTATAGTTTGATTAGTTTATCACGATAGGCAAGCTCGAACACCATGTCAAGGTAACCACAACGGCCGGGTAACTGGGTAATGCAGTCCGCTAAATTACTTATCCATTTATGATGCAGACGTTTATATACCCAACTTAGAACAATACGTTTAGGAGCGCATAGTGATACCAGCAGACTACCCAGCCTGAAGTAGGTGGACTGTGATTTGGACAAACAGGCTGTTGGTTAAAAGTATCGCCCTCTCACACAACGTCTGATTAAATGCCGAATACAATGACTTATTCTGAGTTACTAGCTTACTTTAGTCATTTTAGATTTCTTTCGATTGATATAAGCCACAAAAATGTTGATGAACGTTCATTTCAGATAGGTTTCAGTACACAGCTTTGTACTCCAATCTAAAGTTTATTTTCTGTCTTTGATCTGCTTTCTGGTGATTTACAGTTTGTTTATCAAGACGTATTTATATCATTATTTACTTCCCAGTTTAAGTCATGTGGTAACATGTAGCCAAATCGAGCATGTACGACATACATTACTACATTCAACTAGCTAGTTTATTAATGTTCGAAGTTACTGGTTAGTGTATTTTACTTATTGTTTTAGCAATTTTTCTCGAACTTTGAACAAAGTCAAAACTGAACAAGAGGTGTGGACATTGATACCAAGTTCATCGTCTTTCGACAGTGTTATTACTGAATCAATTAATTCTTCATATGAAAAACAATTCCAGTCAAACCGAAGTGTTTCCATGTCTCTTATGGAGAGTTACACTACCAGTGGTGAAACTTCAAATTCCATAAAGTCAAAAAGCAATCGAATAAATCCGCTTGTTTATGTTACGGATTCGACGAAAATAAATTCACCATCTTTAACCGATGCACCACTAGTGTTACTAAACGGTACATCGCATGAAAATCCTACGAAAACACATTCCACTGTCAATTTAGTGCAAAAACACATCATAAGTTCTATATGCAGTTCGTAAGTTCAGACTGTGTATCTATCTCATCGCTTTTAGTGTTATCCAGCTTTTTGTGGATCACATAAAAACCTGACTTTTGTATGTAATCCTAGTCTTTCTCAGTTGGGACAACTGATTATATGTAACTACAATATTTTCTTAGTTACTGTCCATATAGGTTTTCATAATGTAGGCATAAAATCACAATCTAAAGAACAAAATTCCAAAACAGAATCAAGTTGATGTTTCATTTTAGTTTGTTATTGATCTCTTCTCTTTTCGACAGCCAACCTTAACATTTCACAAATCACATTACTGTCAAATCAGTGTTTCCCAGTCAGTCGAAGCTTCAAAGTTGATTAGTCTCTTTTCACCGTTGTTGCTACCTTGACGTGGTGGTCGGGCTTGCCTATCGTGATGAAGCAACCGAGCTATACTGGCTGGAACAACCGTTCCTCAAGGTCCTACCATGTCAGACAGGTCGGTTGAAGAGCGGTAAGACTAAAAGCAACAAACCCAAGGTCCGAAGGCGAAGTCGTACTGCTGATTGTACAGAGGTGTGACAGCAGTAAGGTGTTTCCTTCAGACAACCAGCATGACAGCGATGCTGCCTTCCCACAAGGAGGGGTGGGGAGAAAAGGTCGACCCTAAGAATGCACACCTCACCTTACCTCACGGATTTCCGTCTCCGGCGGTAAGGCCCTTTGAAGAACGGAGCTAACACGTCAAAAACCTCCCACGAAAAGACCGTGCGCGACCGACCTCAAGCAGTTGTCCCTTGGGCACTGCGGTCACGCTCTCAAGTCACTAAGACCACCCCCAACCCAATTTCGTTTTCAGGTACCTCCAGAACAACCCTTCCACGGTGTGGGCAACCGGGAAGTGATAACCGCCCTCATACCTCTAACAGCACCCAAGACCACTGTATTCATAATCAACCTTCCTCTTCAATTCCTATTATTCCTCCTATATCGACTTTCCACTCTAAACTTCCTCTTTCGGCTTCCTCCTCAAGTGTCACCATAGCCAACGATTCTAGTGCTCAAAACCTGTCCCAGGTCTACTGAAACCCCGCTCCAAACTACACATTGGAGCCTTCAACGTACGCACTCTATGTCAAATCGGTCAGCAGGCTTCCTTGGCTAAAACCCTAGAGTCTCTTTCCATTGATGTATGCTGTGTCTCCGAAACACGCATACAGGATTCCAGTGTGGTCATTCACTTGACCTCACCTTGGCAAAACGGAGAGCCAACGAGATACACCCTCCGTGTATCTGGTGACCCGATGGCCAGTTCTCGTGGACTGGCAGGTGTAGGCATAGCACTAAGCATGAGGGCGGAACAAGCACTGTTAGAGTGGATCCCCGTCAACAGTCGTCTATGTGCTGTTCGGCTAAACGGCTCCGTAAGAACTCGGAAGGATAGGGACACACGTCGTTGCCTTTTTGTCGTTTCTGCCTACGCTCCCACTGACTGCAGCTCAGATGAAGTGAAAGATGAATTTTACAGAAAGCTATCTGAACTTCTTCAGAAAGCTAAACGCTCAGACATAGTACTCATAGGGGGTGACTTTAATGCTTAGATAGGTAGTTTAAACCAAACAGAAAGGCATTTAGGTGGATATTTTAGCATTCCGGCACAGCGAACAGATAATGGTGACCGTCTGCTGCAACTGTGCTCAGACAATCGCTTATTTTTAGCAAACACAAATTTTAAGCATAAGGAGAGACATCGTCTAACATGGCGACCCCCTACACCAAACCAACGATGGACTCAAATAGACCATATTGCCATCAGTCATCGTTGGAGAGGGTCGGTAGAAGATTGTCGCTCATTCTGGAGTACCTGCTTGGACTCCGACCACGTCCTAATACGGGCACGCATCTGCTTGCGCCTCACTGGACGCAAAAAAGCCACAGTAAAGAGACCCATTAGAACCGAACTGAGTAGCGAGGAAACCAAAAGTAGGTTCCAGGAACAACTGAGGTCACGATTAGGTAGTTCTGAAAACGAGCCTGACCCAGTTGTTGCTTGGAAAGCCATACAAACAGCTGTGGAAACAGCAGTGACATCTATCAGTGATTTAAACCAAAGGGTTACAAAGAACCAATGGATTTCTTCAAAGTCTATCACACTGATGGATTCTCGCAAACTCGTCCCATCAGGTTCCGAACATGATGAAGAGCGACAACAAATCAGATCTAGGTTAAGAAAAAGTCCAAGAAACGACCGTGAGCAGTGGTGGGCAATGAAAGCAAAAGAGATGGAAAAAACGGCGACTATAGGGAACACAAGACAGCTTTACAGACTAATAAAAGAAACTGGAATTAATAAGTCAAGTGTAAGTGAGATTATATCGGAAAAAGACGATACTCTCATCTGCTCCCAGTCCAGACGTTTAGAACGATGGGCGGAACATTTCAGAGAACAGTTCAACTGGCCTTCAGCTACTCTACAACTACCCTCCATTCCCAGACAGTGTGAATGGAACATTGAAGTAGGTCCCCCAACTCTTGCTGAAGTTCAAAAGGCTATAGTTAATCTGAAACGAGGAAGGGCAGCTGGTCCAGATGGACTGGCTCCAGAGGTCTTTAAGGATGGTGATCTAATTTTAGCGATTAGGTTGACTAATATTTTAGCTAGGATCTGGGAGTTAGACGTTATCCCATCTAACTGGTCACAATCACTTATCGTCCCAATATATAAGAAAGGGTCAAAATCATCCTGTGACAACCACAGAGGGATTATTTTAACTAATTTAATATCTAAAATACTAGCTTCGATAATTATCAGACGCCTAACTAAGACTCGTGAACTGCAAACACGAGAGACTCAAGCTGGCTTCAGACCTGGTCGTGGCTGCATCGACCACATATTCACCATTCGTCAGATTCTAGAACACAGGCATACTTATCGACGTCCGACAATGGTGGTCTTTCTCGACTTAAAAGCAGCATTTGACTCGGTAGACCGCGAGATTCTGTGGCAGTGTCTGTCATTGAAAGGCGTACCTCAAAAGTACATAAACCTTGTGAAGGCTCTTTACTCGAACACTACTAGTCGAGTCAGAGCTTATGGCGAACTGTCATCTACTTTTGCAACCTCAAGTGGTGTCCGTCAAGGCTGTCCACTTTCCCCATTTTTGTTTAACTTCATCATAGATCTACTGATGGAAATAACTTTCTCGTCGACTGAGTTCTCGGGTATTGATCTCCTACCAGGAGGTCCACTTATCGACTTAGAATACGCAGATGACATAGTCCTGTTTGGTGAAGACGCTGACAAAATGCAGAGTCTTCTGACCACTCTAAGCAACAATGCCGGGATGTTCGGGATGCGACTCTCTCCCTCGAAATGCAAAATGTTGCTTCAGGATTGGGTTACATCGACACCCGAACTAGTGATAGGGAGTGAAGTAGTTGAGTGTGTCGACCGCTTCACTTATCTTGGAAGTCTCATCAGCCCTTGTGGTCTGGTGTGTTACGAAATCTCAGCACGGATACAGAAGGCTCGACTAGCTTTTGCCAACTTGCGTCATTTATGGAGTAGGCGAGACATCCGTCTATCAACCAAAGGACGTGTTTACTGCGCAGCAGTTCGTTCCGTCCTACTTTATGGCAGTGAAACATGGCCGGTAAGAGTAGAGGATATCCGTAGGCTACTAGTATTTGATCATAGGTGTCTTCGAAACATTGCTCGTATATCATGGGACCATCGAGTAAGTAACACAGTTGTTAGGAAACGGGTACTAGGTAAGGATGGCAAATCAATTGATGAAGTAGTGAAACTTTATCAGTTGAGATGGCTGGGACACGTGTTACGTATGCCCAACGACCGACTGCCTCGACGTGCTATGTTCAGTGGTATAGGAGTAGGTTGGAAGAAAGCTAGGGGCGGCCAAACCAAAACATGGCACAAGTCCATGAAGTCACTGACAAGTGAACTGAGTCATGTTGGTAGGGGACCGCGAGATGATAGCAACCGATGGTTAGAGACCCTGAATGACATGGCTCAAAATCGTTTGCAATGGCGCAGGTGCATCCACTCTCTGTGTTCTCCCAAATTCTAATCTTCTGAATTCATGTCCCTTTTCTTTTCCTCTTTCCAAATTTATTTCACTGGATTATACTCTTTAAATAACATCTCCAAACCCTAATCTTCCCGATTACTGCTTAAACTCTTATTACCTCTACCACTACGGGATTTGAATCGACAACTGCATCTCTGTGCTAATGTGGTGTGGCAACTCGAACTGATGTACGTACGTACGAAGTTCTACGTTGTTACTGACTGACTGACTGAGAGACATCCTCTAACATGGAGTCCCCCTACATTAAACCAACGATAAACTCGAATAGATCAGTTATCGTTGGGGAAACTCGATAGAAGATTGCCGCTCGTTATGAACTTTGACTGTGCAGTATTAGGAGGACGCAATTACTTGCGCCTCATTACGACAACCCATTAGAATTAAACAGCGATGAGAAATCCGAAGGTTAATTTCAGGAACAACTGAAATCACAATTAGACAATTTGAGAAACGAGTCTGGCTCATTCTCATTATCACTCAACACAGTAAATGTACAATTATTATTACTGCTATATTGACGAAGTATAGGGGTGTTTTATAATTTGTTGTCGACAATCAGTCCAGTAGTAGGTGGACTATTCTAAATTAAAAAAAGATGAACAAATAAAAATAATAATCAAGCAACTGAAATTATCCAAAAAATTTAATGATACTGAGTAGAGGTAAGTCCGCATAGAGCTAGCCCCGTCCCTATAAGACCGCAGTTGACTGGATAACTATCTCAAAATCAACGTGGTTGGACTTCAGGATTATTACTGGTACACGAGTTGTGTGAAAATTGATGAATAATCTCAGATGACATTTAGATTCACAGTTTGAGAAAAATGAAAAATACATGAAGTATCCCACTTTATAAGAATGTTTACACAAGATACTGATTAGCTCGAAAGTGCTTTAAACATTTCACTGTCTTTCTGAGATTTGAGGAGT